GAGAGAGAGAGAGAGAGAGAGAGAGAGAGAGAGAGAGAGAGACTCTGAGAGAGAGAGAGAGAGAGAGAGACTCTGAGAGAGAGAGAGAGAGAGACTCTGAGAGCTCCACCGCAGCTCTGACTCTTGCGAGCCTCCATCTAGGAATAGAAAAACACCAGACGTGGGCCATCGAAGGCGACATAACTAACTGTTTTGATTCTATAGATCACAACGTTATCATGCAAATTATCAAAAAAGAGATTGCTCCCGGTGCGAAGCACTCTTGATGGACTTACAAAAGAATGGTTTGCTCACTTCCATGCAGGCACACTTTGTGAATGTGTATTTTCTCACTGTGTATTTTTCTGAATGTGTCTGTTACAAAAGAATGGTTTGCTCACTTCCATGCATGCACTCTTGATGGACTTGCAAAAGAATGGTTTGCCTCTCTCTTCTTTTTTTCTCTTGTTAGTCCATTGCCTCTTGGTCCCTCTCCCTCTCTTCCGGGCACGCATACACACACGTAAACATTCAGACAGGCACAGGCACAGGCACAGGCACATGCAAACAACACAGACGCATGCACTTACTTCATGATCTTTATCATGTATGCAAATATCCAATTATGTTATGCAGGACCCTCCTATCATCCATAGGGATGTGAAGCCTAGCAATATTCTGCTGGATGAAAAAATGAATGCAAAACTTGGAGATTTTGGCATATCAAGGATGGTGGACGACCCTGAAGACATAATGACATTCACAAGGGTGGCAGGTACCTGGGGTTATCTGGACCCTATGTACCGTGAAACTCGAAAGCTCACCGACAAGAGCGACGTGTACAGCTTCGGTGTTGTCCTCCTTGAGCTTGTCATCGGGAAAGAGTCCGAGAAGTCTTTGGGACAGAGGAAGCCTATTCAAGGAGACATGCCTGCCTGGGTGAGTAATTCACTAACTCCATACTCCTAGTTTACTGTCATTGAATCCACATCCAATCCTCTGGTTCACTTTTTTTTCTTCTTCTTCTTCTTCCTCTTCTTTTTTCACCCCCCTCTGGTACACTCCTTGTTCAATCCTGTGGAACAGTCCTGGTTCAGCCCTGTGGTTCAGCCTTGTGGTTCAGCCCTGTGGTTCATCCCTGTCGTCCAACGCTGTGGTTCAATCAATACAATGAATACCAGAGAGTAATTTGAGTACTTCATTATCCAATAGCTGACAAGGCAGCTCAATTGAAATTAAACAAAAAAAAAAAAAAAAAAAAAGGTCCTTATGGGCCTGGCTCCGCTCCATCCCGGGGAGCAACCAATTAGCCAATTTTCCACCAGAATTGTGATTTGAGTCCCATGCAGTTCTCCATCTGGATTTGTTTGCATTATCACCTAAGTTGTTCAACTTTTTCTCATTTCTACTCTGATTTCAGCTTCTATCAGATCTCTTGTCAACGCAACGCCCAACCTTATGATCTGTCGATAACCTGTGAAGTAGTTTTGCAGTACTGGGCGTGCCGGAACGGTGACCTCCGTAGATTCCGGTGACCTCCGTAGATTTGAATAAGACTGTTACGGTCGCTGGGTTTTGAGCTGCGGACCCTTTGCCAGCTCTGAAAGTAGGACCCTCCTTTTTTCCTCCCTTCGTCTTCCATCCCTGAATCTGGTAAGCATTGGTGAAGTAGTGTCTGTGATAGCCTCTTCCGCTTCAGTCGAGTCGTTATCAGTGAAAGGATTTTACGCTGTAGTCAGTGTCCCAAGTCCCAGTCCCAAATCCCCATCGGTCCCAGTTCCACGGTTTGGCTGGCCCAGCCGCCAAAGTGCCATTTTGGATCCCGTAGGTCCAGTAGGATCCAATAGCTCAAGCGGCATAGGTCGTTAGAAGTCGTAGGCCCGATACCCGACAAAGAAAGTTCAAAGCCCCAAAGTCCAGATTTGCAGCGGCACCCTGGGAAAGTCCAGTACGTTCTGGAACTGGCGAAGTGCAGCCGACAGGCGGCGGAAGCCAAAGGAAACATCCATTGAGCTTCTATTTATAGAGCTACAGTGCAGCAGGAGTTTCACTTGTCAATTTGTACGCTGCGGAAGCTGTGCTGGATTCTTGTGCGGTCAGACGGAGGCAGTCGGGGAAGGTTGAGGAAGGCGAACGGCTCTCATGCGCCATAGCTCGGGTTACCGAGGAGGAAAAATGCGGCCATAGCCGTAGAGTAGGGAGCCGTAGAGTAGGGGGGCCAGACTAGCGAGTGTGAGCAATCCAAGTTCTAAGAGTGAGCGATCTAAGCGCGGAGAGAGAGAGAGAGAGAGAGAGAGAGAGAGAGAGAGAGAGAGAGAGAGAGAGAGAGAGAGAGAGAGAGAGAGAGAGAGAGAGAGAGA